TTTTTGGTACCGGGGATCGAACTCAGGTCTTTGCGCTTGCGCAGCAGGCGGCAAAACCACTGAGCTAAATCCCCGGCCCTCTCAGTGTTGTTTTAATTTGCATTTCTCAAATGTCCAGTGATGTTTCATGTATTTATTGGCTGTTTATATGTCATCTGAGAAGTGTTTATTCATTTTTAGATGCCCATTTTTTAACTGTCTTAAAATTTGGGGGGGGCTAATTTTTTGAGTTCTTTATATATTCTAGATATATAAATCTTAGATATAGTTCTTTGAGTAGCTGGCAAAATTTTTTTCCAATTTTGTAGGTTGTCACTACTCTATAAGTGGTTCTTTTGTTGTGCAGAAACTTTTTAATTTGATATGATCCCATTTGTTGATTCTTGGTATTATTTCTTGTGCAACCAGGGTTTTATTAGAAAGTCTTTGCCTACACCTATGTCTTCAAGAGTTTTATCTATTTTGTCTTCCAGCAGATCGTTTCTGTTCTAATGTTTAGATCTCTGACCCATTTTGATTTTAGTTTAGCACATGGTGAGATCAGTTGGTCTAGGTTCAGCCTTTCGCATATGGATAATCAGTTTTCCCAGCACCATTTGTTGAAGAGTCTATCTTTCCTCTTGCAAATGGATTTGGCCCCTTTGACAAAGATAACACAGTTGAGTGTGGCTGCAGTTGTTTCTGTATCTTGCATTCTGTTCCACTGACCCACAGGTCTATCTTTTTTGCCAATACCATCCTGTTTTTATCACAGTATCTTTGTAGTATAACTTGAAGTCTCAGATTGTGATGCCTCTGCCTTGCCCTTGTTACTCAGAATTGCTTTTGCTACTCTCCATCTTTTCCAGTTCCTATAAATTTTAGGATTGCTTTCTCCAGTTGTGTAAGGAATATTATTGGTATTTTGATTGGGATGGCATTGAATCTCTATAACAGTTTTGGAAATATGGCCATTTTGACTATACTGGTTCGGCCTTCCCGGGAATAGGAGATATCTTTCCATTTTCTTCTTCATTCTTCTTTTTCAGAGTACTACAGTTTTCATTATAGAAGTCTTTCACTTCCTTGGTTAGGTTAATTGGTAAGTATTTCATTTTTTTGATGCTATTGTGAAAGGTACTGTTTCCCTAATTTCCCTCTTGGTAGGTTTGTTTTTGGTATAGAGGTTATTTTTTTCTAATATTTTATTATTACTGCTATGGTAAATGGTGGTTTTTTCCATCATTATACTTTCTAATTGTTTATGTGTATTGATTTTTGTAGGTTAATATTATGTCACACTACCTTACTGAATTCATTTACTGTTTAAATTAGCCTTATCATCAATTCTTTTAAGATTTCCAAGCATACTATAGAGAGGATAAAATAAATATTATTTACAATTAAACACTTTTATATACTGTATAAAATGGAGTACTACTCAGACAAAAAGAATGAGAAACTAGAGACATTTATAGCTAAATGGAAGCATATTGAGGCCACGCTCTTAAGTGAAATAAACAGGACACACATGTAAATACCAAACAGTTTCTCTAGTGTGAGAAACAAAGTGTAAATAAGGATTAAAATGATTAAAACAAATAATTGATAATGTGAAATGGGAAAAAGTCCAAAGGTGTAGGGGTGATGGGAGGGGAAGGGAAAAAGAAAGAAAGGAAAGGGAAAATTATGAGAAAAGAAAAAAAATGGAAATGAAATCTATGTAAATAGGGAAGGGTGGAGGGGGTGAAGGGGGCACAGGTAATGGGGAAAAGAATAAGAACCAAGATACATCATGTACAGGTACAAGCACTCAATGATAAATGTAAACGAATTGTATACCTAAAATGTAACAGTAAAAGAATTTAAGGAAAAAAAAACAAACCCAAATGGAACACTGTTTAGGAAATTGTCAAAACAAATATTGTATTTTTGTTTTGTTTTGTTTTTGGTACCAGGGATCGAACTTGGGACCTTGCACTTGCAAGGCAGGCGCCAGAACCACTGAGCTAAATCCCCGGCCCCAAATATTATAATGAAAATTCAAAGTAGTAATTAAGCAAGTATCCCCCCGCCCCCATATTAGGGATTGAACCCTAGCCTTATGCATGTTAGGCAAGTGTTCTACCACTGAGCTATATCCCCATCCTTTACGCCACATATTTCTAAAAGCATTTTTTCTGTATAGGGTATACTTCAATATAAGTCATATCAGAAATTTAATGCTACTAAAAAGGCCTACATACTCTCATAATTAACAAAGTTGTAATTTTTGAAATAAAGTTGAATACAAAGCAGATCTGAAAGCAGTTCTTAATAAAAGGATTAAAACCTTTATACTACCACTAATAAAAATAAAATCCAGGTTATTAATCAAATATTTCTAATGAAGTCTCAGTAAGTTTGTATCTTTCAAATAAGAAGCACAGCCTTAGAAAATGTTCATGACCAGATCTCTTCACTTTCAAGCAGACTACTGTGGTAAAACTGTTTTCCCAAAAGAGGGTTAAAAAATGTAATTAACCAATATTCACTGCTTCCCTCATTCAAATACTAAATAGCTATGCTTAACTAATAATGAATCATGTTACAATCAGACCAAATTCCCATTTATTAGTTAAGAGTATATGTTTTGTTCATATCCAATATAATCATTCTAAAATTATTCTATTATGTCCATATTTCATTCACTTTTTTTAGATATTTACTATCAAAATATCTGTCTGGATCAACTTATTTTTCTTTATGAAAGCAGAATGTCTTCCTAAAAGGATATACCTTGGGGCACGAATTGGTCATGCAAGGCTTCAGAGAGAAGCACTGTTGGTGGCGCAAGTGGTTGAAATTCAGCGCTCCCCACTGAAGGTGTCACCTATAAATCAGCAAAGAAACATTATTTTACTCAATAATGTTATGGCACAGAATAAAACGCAAGCAACATACACACAAGATAATCTTAAGCAATCAGTTCATAAAAAATAGTACTTACTGCTGTAATTAAAACACTGCATGTATTCAGTTATAGCAGATTTTTATTAATGGCATTTTCTACTACCTCTTATGAGTACTACAGTTTATATAATCAGTAACTTACAGTAGTACAGTTTTGACTCAAGGCCCATGTAGGATTTTAAAGTTTCTTATTAAAGCCTACTTGTTGCCCAAATGTTGAAAGACAAAAATATACTCCCTAAAATTCATTATGTTCTTAATATGTTTTACACTTAGTGATCTACTCATAAGTTTTTAAAAAACCTATAAGAATTAGAAGTAGTAAATGATTTTTCTATCACAAAAGAAAGTTTTTAAGAGCTCTGCAATATACTGACACTAGGTTTTAGAATACAGCATTTCTTAAAACATTAAAAATAGAAATGCCTCTGAAAGCAACCACAATTTCACCCACATATTCATAGATGGGCAGACCATGTGGTTTCCTAAAATTGAAAGCACCCAGGCTGATGTGTTTGGCACCTCTTAAGTGAAAAACACAGTATCTGGCAAGGTCAGATAACTCTTTTTTCTTGCCATCAATCCTCAGTGAGAAGTTGTGGTGTGCCTGTACCTGGGGAGCCTCCAGGTCAGTGCAAACACACAGAACAAGGTATCAACAGAACTGATAAATCAACACTATTGCAGGCTCACACACTACAGTTGACATCTGTGTGTTGACTGTGTATATCCTAACATTTATTATTTAATATGATGACACAAAAACAAAAATTAATGTTATTTTCATTTGTAGTTTCTAATAATGAAAAAAATAAAAATTTGAAATTGGTAGAAATGAAATTAATATACTGTTTTTCAAATTCCACATCTTTTGCCACATCAATTATGACAATTATAACACCAATAAATGAGAGCTATAACTAAAAAATGTAAGCTAAGCACAAAAAGTCATCTAAAAAGTAAACTTCGATAAACTCAGTCTAAATAACTTAAATCCCTTAGTTTATAGAACATTTGATCCAAGTAACAGAAAAAGGTAGGCTAAAATTTGTTTATTTTGGGGGGCCAGGGATTTAGCTCAGTGGTTCCAGTGCCTGCCTTGCAAGCTCAAGGTCCCGAGTTTGATCCCTGGTATCAAAAAAAAAAAAATTGTTCATTTTTAAAAATAGATTTGCCCAGGTAGCAATAAGAAGCATATAAAAAATGTTCCTGTCAACAGATGTCAAGAAAACTTTTATAGTTCTGGCAAGAAAACCCTCAAACACCAAGACTGATACCATAAACTATGCAGGAGTTATCTAATATATTGATCCTACCACAAACTCTTCTGGCTATATAAGAAAAGTGAAGGGGAAAATGATGCTGGAATCCTTCATTTCAGTGAAAATTCTTTCAAGTGACAAAGACTGAAGAAGCAGAAGTAGGGGACTGGTTTATTATTTTAGCATTCAGTTTGGGAAAAGAAAGCTTTGAAGGGCCCATTAAATATCTGGCTCATTAAAAGAAAGGAAAGTAATGCTTCAGGATCACAGGAAAGGCAATAATAAAAATTGTAATTTTTCTTAAGATAGTCCAGGGAAGGGAAACCCAAATTTAGAAAAGATGTTTTTGGAATGAATCTAATAGTTGTAACTTAATTCAGGTGGATAAGAAATCACAAAGACTTCTTCATTATTCTTCAAAAAATGATTATGGGTGATTTATATTTCTAGTAGCCCTTATGTATTTTCACATTTTGATGTATTAGTATATTGCCATTTTAATAAATAGAAACAAAACGCATTAAAGTGAATTGCTCTAGTTCTATGCTCAAATCTTCATTTGGAAATAATTTTCAATTGATACTTGTTTGACTATATTTGATAATAAACACTGACATCCAAATCTATTACTTTCACTAAAAATCCAAGGAATAACTATAGTTTTAGCATTTAAATATTAGCTGCTGAAAAGTACAGGTTTTCTATCAAGCTACAGATAGAAAAGATCTGATGTGGTTCACATCTGCATTTAGAGGTAAGTATCATAAGCTAAGGGATTTGCCCAGCTGAGAGTCTAATTAAGATTCTCAGTCCAGTATTGTATTCATGAAAGCACAAATTAATTTGAGTGAGAGGAAGTCCTCAGACACACCTCGAGAGAGTTGGCTAGCTCAGTTTGACTGAACATGCTTCTTATTCTTGATTTCTTCTACATCCATGTAAATGAATTTCAGCTAGACTAAGAATTCTAACACCCTCCTAGATAGAGAAGCTAAGAGGTGGCTTAGTTTAAGAGCAATTGAGCATGCTTAGTCAGCACTTCTTTCTTTATAGCACAGAGCTATCACTCTTCCCACTCTCTGTACCACTTAAGAACCCCAAGTAAGAGGCCCAGCACTGTCTTCCTCTAATAGAATCTTGTCTAATTCTTCTATCACTTCCTGCATTCATAAAAATGGCCTCACTGTAAAAGATCACAATCTAGATTTTTCCTTCACTTTTCTGTCGCATGAGATACCCTGAGATCTTCAATTTACAGTTTCTCAATAAGACAAATAAGACTAAGCTTTTTTTTGACACACACACACACACACACACACACACACACACGTGATATACATCACTTTACCAGTTGCTGGAAAAAATACCTGACACCCACAAGTTGAAGGAGAGCTTTAAATATCAGTTCAGAGGTTTCAGTCTATGAACAGTTGCCTCCAAGGTAGGAATATTATGGTAGAAGGGTGTGGAAGAACAAAGCTTCTTAGTCCAAGGAAGCCAGGAAGCAGAGCAGGGGGAAAGCTCAAGATAGTAAGGGACCAGACACAGACCCCAAGGTTACGCCTCCATGACCAATCAGACACACCTAAGTATGCTTTACTAATTCCCCCAAGAAGCTCTCAAGGCAATCAAGTGGACAATAAAGCTCACCATGGCACAATATACTTCTAGTCTTATCATTTTATTGATGTTATAGAAGACAATAAAAGCTACTTAGCAGATAGGCTGATGACTCAAATTAGTGTAATTGTAGTAACCAGGGGCTGGGTAGGGGGAATGGGAAGAAGCTCAAAGGGTACAAATTTTAGATATAAGTAGGATAAATTTTGGAGATCTAATGCACAGAATGATGACTATAGCTAATAATACTGTATTATACACTTGACATTTGCTAATAATATATCTTAAGTGTTCTCATCACAAAAAGAAAGGTAAGGGGCAGAGAAGGTGAGCCTATCCCAGCAGCCAGGAAGAGGCTACCCTGCCGCCATTCCAAGCTCCTAGGGCAGAGAAGGTGACCCAATCCCAGCACCCAGGAAGAGGCTCCCTCGCTGCCATTCCATGCTCCTAGGGCAGAGAAGGCGAGCCGCACAGGTGCCAGAAGCACCCCCCCCCACCCCCTGTGGAAATGAAAAGACATGTAAACAAGCCTCAAAAACAGACTTCCAGATCACCTACAGCAACCTCAAAGGGAAACAAAATGGAACACTCTGATAACTCAACCACCTGGACTCCCTCAACTGGCAAAAAAAGAGGATCTGGGAAAAATGAAATCAGAAATAATTACTCAGATAACAGCAAAGAGTTTGCTCATGGTGAAAGACATGATTAATAAATCTAGAGAGAACACAGATAAAAAAATAGAGGATCTGGGGAACATGATGGAATCCCAACATAGGAAACGAATGGAATCCATAAAACAGATACAAACAGATTTCCAGGAGATTAAAAACTCCATCGAAAGTCTGAGCAGCAGAATGAACCAATGTAAGGATAGAATTTCAGATATAGAAGAAAAGACTGCAATTAGTGACCAGGAAAAGAAAAATTGCTTTAAAATTGTAAAAGAACACGAGAAATCAATC